TTATTTACAATGCTATACAAATTTAAAATTAGGCATAAAAGTTGAAGTTTTTAGATCTAAAGTTGAAAACATCAGAAATGTTAATACAGAAGAAAAAATAAAACAAATTTCAGAGCTACTACTTATTTGAAAATTTTGAATGCAACTATGTACAAATTAAATACATATAAAAAAACTAACAATCTTTAATAAAAAAAAATGGTTAAATCGAAACACACAAACATAGAATCGATTCTTGGATTATAGATTTATAGATGGTGTGTCAAAAGAACAAATTAAAATAGGGAAATTAAAAAAAAAAAGGTATAAAATTATACCTTAATCGCTGGACGTCGTAGGTGACTAAGGTGAGATGGAGTCGTAGGTGGAGGTAGAGTCGTCGATGAGGGTAGAGTCGCCGCCGGTGAGGGTGGAGTCGTCGGTGAAGGTGGAGCCTAAAGAATGAAAGGTAGAGAGGGAGTAGACTATAGAGAGAGATTGAAAATGAAAGAAGGTGGCTGCTTGAAATTTAGATTAGGGTTTATTTAATTTCAGGGCATATTTTTTTTATTATTATAAAAATTAAACGGGTGGATGATAAACGGGTGACGGATGACTAAAAGTTCCACCCGAATCCGACCCGATCCGTCATCCGTTTCATCCACCACCCGCCTTTCATCCGTATAAGTCGGGTTTTCATCCATTTAATTAGAGCGGGTGGAGCGGATTACTGGATATCCATATAAAATTGCCATCCTTAGTTACATTAACTCATGTTCAATAATCCAATTAATTTAAGTCAAATCATGATTTACTTCATTTTCATACTAAACTACTCGGTAGCCATAACTCGTGAAGGTATAATTGAATGATATATATGGCTGAATCCATGATTAAATCTCCCCCCTTTGATTATGATTTACGAAATATATGTTTACCTAGTCTAATCCTCCATCATACTCATACAGACGTTAATTCCCAAATAATTTATGTCCTCTTATCAATTGTATATAGGTCTATAATTTTCTCAATTACGGAGTATTAATTAATTTATTATTATTTTTTATTACGCATAAATTAAAAATGAAACAATGCATACAGTTTTGGTGAGGTAAAAAAAGGAAAGGAACTAACAAATGGTTAATTATGATAATGTTTTAAATTTTTATTAAATCATGTTGTTCAATAGTATGAACATATGTAAGATTTAGATAATGGATGTTGCATGCTTGCATCTCAATGAGATAATGATTAAACGAAGAAAATAATTTAAATAAGCTTGCAAATCCAACCCATGAATTGTCAATAGTTTATACGTGTATATATCATGAACAAGCTTTAGTTTTGCAGAATTTCACCTACTCTATCTTGTGCTATTACAAATTTAAAATAAATCATAATTAGAAAGTTGATCTGAGTTAGGCAAGGGTGTTATGTTGGACTAATTAATATTGTATCATATCTAAACATGCATAGATACATCAATGTTTTTTGTGACTTTCAAAAAAAAAAAAAAAAAAAAAAAAAACACTTGTAAATTTCAATTTACATATTACGTACAATTAATTTATTTATATCTTGAGTTAAAACTTAAATCTTCCTAGGAAACCTATCTCAAAAGGTCTCGGATCTATGACCTAGTCTTCCCATAAGTAGAGGAAGTGCACAATTGCACCACTTCTAATTTCTATACCAACTAGTCAATATAAATGTTTGCATAATAATATGCTACTTTGCTTTGTGAAAATTATAAAGTCTTTATGACATACTCCTTTCGTCTCTTAATTCTTACATAGATTTACTTTTTTGTGAGAGCTTTTTAGGTTAAATGATGAAAAAAAAAGTGATAGAGAGAATATAAGATATATCATTAAATCCCTTTCCCACAACATTGCTCTCCAATTTCCTAAAAAAAAAAAACATTGCTCTCCAATCCCTAGGAAAAATGATGTTAATGGTATTTTCATCACCAAATAACCTCATTTTTTAAATTAATATACTCCGTACTATATACTAATTAGGGCATTAATAACGCGTGCAAAAATCTCCTTAAAGTTGACTCATAGTATTGTTTAAAGTCAAAATGCTTTTCCTCATCATATAGCAAATTGGAGAAGTGTTGTAAATTAAACAATTGGCTAATCATCATTAAGTTGGACTTAAGTTAGGTGGGTTTTGCTATGGACGATTGTTGACCCGCATCAAATTAATAATAATAAAAATAATAATATCAATTAATTAAAAAGAACATTCTCTTATGGACTACTATTACTCAACCGTGCTTGACCCACGAACATCTTCTATTCCCCTTGTGGACCTTTATGGGTCGCCCCTTTTGACATTTTCGTTTGTTCACACCAACTATTTATTTTTTATTTTTTATTTTTAATTTATATAAAAAAAATTATAAAATATTAATACAAGTAATATTAATAAAAATGCAATCATTTGACATTTACATTATCCAATGCATATTCGATTATGAATACTTTAAATAACATGATTTTTTTTTTGTTCAAATTTACTCGCAACCGTTTAAGATTTGACATTATTCACATGTATGTTTACGTTTGTCACTCTTTAATGATTAATTTGTGAGACAAAATACAGTTAATTAGAAAATTGTTAAATTAATTTCAATGTATTGTCATAATATCTACTTTGTATTCTTTAGTTAATTATAATTAAGTATATTATTGCTTAAATTTATACTTTAACAAATGTGAAATTCAAAATGTTGTAAGTAAAATAAAACGGGGAAAGTATTTAGAAGGCAATTCATGTTAATTACTATTTAAAAATAGAGTTTGAAAATACTCATTAAAATAAATCCAACAAAATCATACACTTATCACGTATGCATGATAATATAATAATATATTTTTCCCGTCTTCTTTTAAATGCAACACTTTGACTTTTATACTATTCATATAATTTATTTTGATTAGCTTTCATTAGATGATGATTTATATGTATAGTCATGTGGGATTTTATTAGCTCGTCTAGGTTTATATATTATAAATATATACAAATTGTTTATAATTTTTACATATTAGTTTCGTTAAAAAATAAATAAATTACATATTAGTAATAAAAGTTAATACTGATAATTTTTTTTAAAAAAGAAAAACGTATTGATAAGCATGGAATTCGAAGTTTTGCATTTAAAAATAAACAGATGAAGTATAAATATATGTTTAAAAGCATGTTAATATTTATAAAAATTTGATTGCAAAAGTCGTTTTGTTGCAACTTTAATAAACAAAGGATTCCTTAAAAAAAAAAAAAAAAAAAAAAAGTTAATAATAAACAAAGGAAGTAGGTTTCAACAAATCTCACCTTAAGGGTTAATGAATGAAATTCATCACCTGCCTTGGTTGCTCTCTAAACACCCCAAAAAATAATGAATATTGGGTTGAAATTCATATTACAAAGTCATACACAACATACTTTGGTATTAGTTTATTACCATCATCGCAGATTTATCATCTATCAAACAGGCCGTAAAGCTAATACTATAATGTTTTTACGACTAGAATTACAATAAATAGATAAGTATTGAACAATGGGTAGGGTATTGCTCCTAGAGTCTTCTACCTGCAATGACATATCCTTGGCACATCCCTAAATATATGAAAAATCATGTTTAATTGCTAATTTGGAAACGAGGCCAAAAAAACATAGAGATGAGGACAATTGAGATTTGTTTGCTTACTTTGTAATCCAAAGATAATAATTATGCCTTTAGCCTGCTTTTTTTCTTTGTAAAATTGTAGATGTAAGATTGATCCATTATCATATTCTATATTTTCATATATATAAAATATACTTGTATAATTTTGTAGGCCTTTAATTAATTAGCTAGAAATTAATTAATAAATTCCATCATTTCATGGCCATTGAATTATTTATCTACACAAATGTAAAGTTTTCTCAACATAACTTGAGATATTTATACTACCTAACCTTGTAGTTCCATTGTAGCATGATCTCATACCTTCATAAAATGACAAATTAAATTTCTTAATTTTTAGAGTTGATATGTTGAATCAAGCCAAGAAAGATAGAATTATTTAATGTTTCAAGAAGTCAACCAATAAAGAAGAAAAACAAAACTTGTGTATTTGGTGAAAGAATAGCAATAAAGACATTAGATTAAGGTATAAAAACCTACTCGTATACTATTTTGATGTAACATATTTATGAGTTGTTACCTATAGAATGAAAAATAAAAAAAAAATAAAAATAAAAATTGTTACATTGTAGGATCTAACACAATTTTACTAGATAAAAACATGATTTACTTCATAATGCATTGGCATTAAGGATATCATAGGAGCGACCATGCCACAATTAGTTGTTTCATTATTATTTGTACCTTTTGCATCAAATAATAAAGGAAAAATATAATAGTATTCCCTTCGTCCCTTAATTACGTGCATATTTCTAATATTTATTACTCACATAATAAAGAGAAATAGACACGTAGTTAAGGGACGGAGGGAGTATCACATATTGTTACTTGTGAGATTGAAGAGTGAGTATAAGTGTAGAACCCTGTAAAAAAGCTGAGTTTGCTCACACTTTTGATTTCGTCCTTCACCTAATTCCCATATCCAGACCTTATTAAGGCCCATTTATTGGGTTGGAATTCAGTCCAACCCACCAATTCTCATGGCCTAGGCCCTAATAATTTTGGGCTGAGAAATTTTGCACAAGTTGGACCAAATTAGGGGTACGAACGTCTTTTGAAACCTGAATTGGGCCTTTAGGCCTTAAAGAGTATTAGTCCACATGGCCCATTGCTCATCTCTAACTCATGTAGACAAAATGCAATGAAACAGTAACTTGGATGAGCAGATGGTCAAATTGAAGTGAGGAGTCTGCTCAAAATTTTCGAATCGAGGTCTTTCCTTGCATAATCTGATCGAGGTGTGTATGTACATTTTAGAATGCAAATCAGAAGTGCAATTGCCAATCTGTTGTGGATGGTGATTCTTTTGGCTATAAACAACAAAATAAAAAAAAAATGCTGAAGAATATATTATAACAGTGAATTATTGAGACAATTGGTCTATTAATTGTATCTATCTATGCAACAAATTTGCTTTCTCAGGCTAGCTCTTCAGAAGCAAATGCGCCGAGGACAATCTGCTGTGTACACATTCAAATCAAAAGGGTAAATATCACGTTCACTACAAATTTACAAGTATATGATCTCGCCTCAACATATTTTCACACAATGATATGTTGAATTGCAGGTAACACAGAAGCGCCATAGCATCAGTTTTGCTGCTGTTCAGAAGCTGATGCTATGGGAGATCTGTAGGAGAATATTTTTTTAGGAAAATTACAAACGGAATCGTTTCCACCGTTAAGAGAATTTTTTTTTAAGTAGCAGTGATAACTTATGTTGAGTATGCTATCATATGATTATTTTTCTACGGAATATTATCCTATGAAAATGGAGACATGTACGGAAAATGTCTTCCACAAAAATAAACGGAGCCGCCTCCACTGTAAAGAGAGCTTTTTAAGCAGCAGTGGTAATTTATGTGATTATATGCCAATTATGCCACCAGCCCACCACCCACATTAGCCATGTGGATGTACCATAATTATAAAATGCTCCAGGATAGAGACCCGACTTCTTAATGAGCAAGTAGTTTGAGGTGGAACCTACATGACTGACCTGGCCACAAAATCAGTTTAAGGTGGGCTCACCGGGATACAGAATCAGTTTGAGGTGGAACCAATATGGCTGACCAACCTGGCCACAGAATCAGTTTAAGGTGGAACCAACATGGCTGACCTGGCCACAGAATCAGTTTGAGGTGGAGCCAACTTGGCTCACTAGGCCATAGAATCAGTTTAAGAAGGAACCAACATGGCTGACCTGGTCACAGAATTAGTTTGAGGTGGAGCCAACATGGCTCACTAGGCCACAGAATCAGTTTAAGGTGGAACCAACTTGGCTCACCTGGCCACGGAATCAGTTTGAGGTGGAACCAACATGGCTGACCTACCTGGCCACAAAATCAGTTTGAGGTAGAGCCAACAAGGCTCACTTGGCCACAGAATCAGTTTGAGGTGGAACCAACTTGGCTCACCTGGCCACAGAATCTGCTTCACTGACTGCTTTCCTGCTGGCCTAGGAGATGCTTACCCTTCCTGCGGCTGTGATCAGGTCCCCGCACATCAAATAGTAGTTCTCCATCTCATCAGTGCAAGTCATAGCTTTTGTGGGCATCCCATTACATGGGCATACTGCAAATCACACACACACACAAATTACAGAATTGCAGATAAATTATATCGATCTTATTCTAGGTTAAATAGTTATGGCTGAAAATCACAAGAAAAACTCTTCTATAAGAAGATAACCAAACGCCAAACAAAGACACAATAAATACATGCAATTTTTTTATTTTTTTTTGACGAACAATAAATGCAGGCATTCATATATATTACTCCGTATCAAGTAAAAAAAGCATGAACACACGTCAAAATACACAAAAAGTAATAAATTTATATTGAAGATACTTGAGAATTTGGATGGTATACCTCCAGCTCAATAAATTAATATTTTGGTGAATTGCAGACGCAATATAATATATGTTGGTGCATAGATTTCCTCTTTTTCTTCTTCCTTGGAAATTTCATGGTAGCAAGTGTCAAAGCTATTTGATCCTTTTGGATCTCCATGCTAACTTGCTACTTTGTAGAGAAAAATGGAGAAATTGAGAGAGGTTATTAATGATAAATAATAACCAAGAATTGTGTGATGAGAATGAGAGTTATGAGACCAAGTACATCATTTATATAGGGGTGTTAACACTAGGGTTTGGAGGATTAGGATGTCAAAATGCAATACTAAAAGATAGCATTGCCACTTCAGCTTGAGGTGGCATTTTTAATTATACTTCAATTTGAAGAGAAATAATTTTTAGGTGCCTTATTAAGAAATTAAAATAATACAAATAACATATACAATAATATTAATAAAAAGGTTGGTCAAACCATTGATATGTTACCATCTATGACAAATTTGCTTTAAGCATTTGAGGTGTGAATGATAGGGTTACAGATAATGCCAATGTGAAACAATGATATTACCTACCAAAAATGCTTGATTCAATGAAATTGATCCTTAATTCATACCTTCAAAATCAAAAGAGATATTCATCTTTTAATTCATATCTTGAAAATCAAAAGAGATATTCATCTTCTGAAGATAATTGCCACATGTTCTCTAGCATTAAAATGTACTAGGGGATTTTGTTTATTCAGTAATTTTACATAGGATTATAATGGAGATTATGGGGGTGTTTGGTTAGGAGCTTTTTGGTGCAAAAAGTGTTGTTTGACCATTTCAAAAAGCTCTTTGGGGTGTTTGGTTAGAAGCAGTTTGAAATAGCTTTTTGGGTCCAAAAATTTCTTTTTCAAATAGCTGATATAAGGAGCTTTTTGAAAGAGCTTTTAGTTTTACTCAAAAATTAACAGCTGGTTACCAAACACTTTGACACATGTAGCTAATCTGCTAATTACAATCAATTAGTCAAAATTGTTAATGCAAACAGCTAACTCAAAGCAGCTAACAGATAAAAGAATTGTCAAACAGGGCCTATATATGCGGTTGAACAGAATGAACTATTATATTGTTGGCTCGCTATATCATAACATTGTAGTTACTGTTCAGACAATATTATAAGACTTGAAATAGGCTTCTCTGTGTTTCAGGACTTGAGCTCACTATATGATGTTGCAATGATGTCTAATGGAGCCTAAAGGTTCAAAAATACAGCAGCGTCAAGTTCAAATTATAGGCAACTATATGTGTACATAATTACTCCACATGTTGAAGAAATTTAACCTTATTAAAGTCTGCCTTAGAAAAATTTTCAGACGTTTTGTTGCAGGCTTTTTAAAAAGTATGAATTGCACACACTATTTTAAACAAATTCATGCATTACTATTTCCTGAGAGTAAATCAGTACAGTAATTTGGGAAAAAAAAAAAAACAATATAGTTGTGTGGCTAAATGACAAATAGCTAAAATGAGATGAAATATTATATTAACAAATGCGTTTAATCTCAAATTTTCGTAACTTTGTAATTAGATATACCTTGATAGCCCAGGTGCTAGTAGTTTATGAATATTCACAGCAAAACAGATGAAGACTTTAACTTGCAGTGCATTCACCGGATAGTTTTCCATGGAGTCAGTGATACTACAGCAGCAAAACCATAGGCAATCAGAATACATCGCTAAATTTATATAAAAAAAAAAAAAAAAAAATCATGAAGCAAGAGCTGTGAAAGAACCACCATGAAGGGGATAACCAAACAAATAAAATTTTTAACCCTAATGAGACCTCATCACTGATAAGAGTAGTGTTATTCTAAATATCCATCAGTTAGCTACTTCAACAATAAGGCAGAAAAATAAACCCCCGAGGAACATTTGAGCTAGCAATTGTCATTTTCATTTCTCCTAGAAATCGAATTTTTGAACGCAATGGTGAAGGTAGAAGATTTCAGAAGCATATCTGATTGCAAGATTTTTTTGATAGGATAGACAAGTTTGGTTCTTTCGTTCCTTCTATTGACAATCTAATGTGTTGTAAATGAACCTTAACAATCACGCCACATGCCATAAATGATCATACAAAGAGAAACTGCAAACATCTGCACACACAGATACACCACAAACATGCAGAAGATGATATACACTTTGAGACAACCTGAATATGCAAGAAAATATCTTAAACACATCAGTACATCACTAAGATCATTTCTCGGAAGTAATATAATTGTATTTAAGAAATATATATAACATGAGTGTATGGAGAGCACAGATCTCACCGATTTATTGTTTGATACCATTAATGGGCAGTCTGCAGTAGGCACAACAACCAAGAGTGGTCAGGTGACTTTCACCACAACGCTAACATCTATAGGCTACACAGTAAATTTATAATTCAGTGCTTTGGAGTAGAATCCAGCATAATATTTAGAATTACTTCAAGGATATAATTAAACAAACTGCTTAGTGCTGCAATTACAATACCGTTGCCAGTTGGAACTTGAGAAACACTAGCCACTTTCATATAGTTTGCACATCTTTGACTTTAAAAAGACTTATTCTGTAAAATCCCAAGCAAATGTATCAACAAGATCATACAGAGTATGTGTTTAGGAAATTTCCAAGCCATTATAAATTTGAGCAACACTTCCATTACTATTCATAAACTTCGTTGAAGAATTAATCCTATATGGCAACTTTTGTAAACCCTTTATATTGAATCTTACTACCAGAAAGATATATAAAAAAAAGAAAAAAGAAATGTTTTAAAAAAAAAGAAAAAGAAAAAAGAAATAATGATTGCAATGGCATATGAGAATGATAAGCATTCAATTCAAAGCAAGTATACGTCTTACAGCCAAGACTATGGTTCATAACCTTCAATAGACATAGTGGCAACATTTCTGATACCTTGCCTTCATCTCAAAAACCAACTTTCATGAAGAGAACTTCTGCAGCACAGCACTTGCAACATGGTTCCAATTTTCCATTTTATTTATCTCTATAACCAATTAGCTTCTGATTTTAGAAAATCTCAGTGGAGAAGGGTGATCTAGAGAATCTAGACTCGAGCAGCCAATTCAAGCAAACATAACTTTCATCATTCATAAGAAACTTCTTATAACAGCTCTAAGCCTCTAACACTAATAACAAAGTTCTAACGTTGTGCTCATCAATACACATACAAAAAACAGAACAAAGAGTAAAATCACCTCTTCACAAAAAAATTAATTATAGATTGAGGTTAAATCTTGGAAGAAATAATTCTTAAGTAGTCATCCTCATAAAGACTCTTGCCTAAATAATTCCTAAGTAGTCATCCTCAAAAAGACTCTTGCCTAAATAATTCCCAAGAGTCATCATCTTATTTTACAGTTTACTGGTCCACAGTCCATCAGTTAATTTATCCAATAACTACTTCCTATATCATAAATGAGGCACTAAGAAAGGAATTTAAGCCACAGAGAATGATGTTCATGCAAAAAGTGTCCTACAATATTGCAAAATTTAGAAATGCTTTCAAGAAAGCAGGAAAACATCTCTATCCTATAAAGATGCACGATGAGAGTTACGTTGAATGATTTAATCACTTCTATGTTTTTAGTCACACAGCCACAAAACAACAAGACAGACACATACTGGAGAATTTACCTCTCCTTAAGCCTTCCAAAGTCCAACATGGCAACTTAGGAAAACCAGAAATGCCTCAAAACAGAAGCTAGAATTATCCAACTCACTATGCACCGACTGATAGTCCATCCATGTAAAGCAATAATATGTTCAATTAAGGAAATCTAGCAAACAACCTAAAATCTAGTCATACCGACATCGATCCGAATATTATCACAGCTAATAATGACTAAGTGCACTCATTAACTAAGCAAACAATCAAACATGACGTAACCTCATTCAACACAAGGAAATCCTTTCCAAATTGGAATACCCATCCATGTAGATAATTATACATAGTAAGGTCAATATGAAATCCATATGTGCCAAGAAAATCAATCCTAACTGTTAATGATTCATCAATCACAACACAAACAAACTACGTGCATGCATGAATTAAGGAATCAAGCAAGCACAAGTTTTCATGATTTTTCATTGTTAGGATCATTGCACATAAGGCCTATTATGAAGGTGCTGCACTTGAAAAAAAACACTAACCAATGAAGTGGCTCTATAATACTTATAGTAGATCAAAACACCCATTAACAACTTGAACGGCCCAAACCAAGTACCTAATCAAGTTTCTGAAAGATGAAACGATTCGATGGATGTTTAGAATAGCTTTGAAAATGAAAATCCTGACCTTGGAATATATAATTTCATTAGTGAATGCATAATTGCATATTACATACATGTGAATCAATGTGGTTCTTTTAACCTTTAACAATTAAACCCAAATGGTTCATGTTTAGTTATATTGTCAACTTTCAAAAGCATAGATAGTCCTAATTCCTAACATAATATAAGTTGGCCCATCAAGGGATTAACCACTTAGACGTTGCTTTGATAAATAAACAACATGCCCGAATCCAACCCAACTTGAGACTTGCTGCTACCTCAGCTCAAATAGTTATCTAAAAAAAAATCTCTTCAAAATCATCTTTCACATATTTACTCTTCCTGAACTCTCTCACTTTTTCTATCTCTCTCTTCCTCTTCTCTCAAGTCTCAATTATTCAGTCCAGAAAAATCCTACGGAGTACATTATATTTTAAGCTTATGTTTAACCCTTTTAAAATTTTGATCCAGACTTTAATACCGGTTTTCAAACAATCAAAACAATTTTCGTTATTCAACTATTATAAATATTCCAATAAGAAAAGAAAAAAAAAAATCAATAATGTAATAACGAAATTTGCATCCATGTTTTCTAATCTGAGCATCATATATATACCTAGAAATGTAACAAATAACGAGAGAGTACATAATTTATTTGTATAGTCATAAAGGTCAATATTGTAAAACTTCAAAACCTAATCTTCACTCTAAAAGCAACTTCAAAAGAATAAGAACCAAATAATATTTATGACTTCGTATACCAATGAACCAACACATCCTCTCGTGCTAGTAAATAAGCTACAATCTTTAACAAATGAGTGCCATGGCCAAAGTAGAATTTCAATTTGCAAACATGACAATACCAAGGAAAGATATCGATTCCAATCGTATGGCCAAAGTAGAATTTCAATTTGCAAACATGACAATAAAACCAAGGAAAGAGATCAATTCCATTCATAGCTTGCAGTCCCTTAACAATCCGATAACCCAATCTGAAATAGTGAAATTACTTAGAAAAACTCAAACTTGATCTGAACCAAACATTAACAGCCCAAACTTAACCAGATGGGCCCATGAATCTTATTTTATAATTTAATTATATAAAGTTTTACAAAATTTCTGAGAGGCTTTTAGCACAACTCAATTATAAAACTAAATTGGACTTAAACCCATCATGTTGACTAGAATTGTGACCCTTATTTCCATCTTGTGGTACATCTTTAACAAATGGTAGAAATTAAACTTTCGGATAATATGGCGCAAACAAATTTGACGAGAATAGCACCTTACAAGATAGGCATACCATAAGATAGGCATGCCATAAGGCGACAAATAAAAAATAAAAACCCATCCTTACGAAGTACCACTAGATACGAGAGTGGAGTTGATTTACTTTGTTAGGTTGGGTGAACAAATTCACTTGAAGAGTTTACACCAGGTAAATATAATCTTACCCATTTTAAGGATGGTTCAAGGTGAACCATATATTTGGGACAAGATTCCTTAGGTTTTCAATGGCAATGAATTTGTAGGCTATTTTGGTGAATTGCAAATGCAATATGATACGTATCACCACTTAGATCTCTTCTTTTTCTTCTCCTTCCTAGGACATTTCATGGTAACAAAGACATAAATACTTTTGGGATTCCATCCTAACAATGAAAAAAAAAACATAGGAGTGAGGAGAATTTTAAAAGAAGCAAACATAAAGAGATGGATAATAATGAGACCTAGTGTATCATTTATATAGGGCTCTTGGAAAAGGGATAATCAACTAGAGCTTAAAGATAGAGTCTCCACATCATTCTGAGATGGATTGGTATCACATTTGATAGGTAAAAATCATAAAATTATTCTAAGCATCCCATTGATTGTATTATAAATGCCTAAATAAATAAAAATTAAAGCATTGATATCTTTCCATTTGTTCATATATAGCTTACCTTATAGGTGTGATCAATGATATCTCCCTACAATAATAGCTGATTCAAGACAATCAAAAGAGGTACATAGTTCATCTTCAAAAGGTAATTATCACGTTTCTTTTCACAATTAAAAGCGCCTAGTCAGCAACCTAAGGAATTTAAAAGAATAATCAGTATTTGAGCTTTGAGTCCACTACATACATGTAATGTGATGTGATATGATTGTCCAAGCAACTCTTGAATGGTAGGTATTGAGACCTCTAAACCAGCTACACCCCTCAAACCAGAACTTAGCAGTGTTAGTCATAGGCTTATATGTAGAGGCAAGTACAAACTAAGCCAGATAATGAGATGCAGAAACTCATACATTGTCTAGGGTCTACAAATGGAGTCCAAAACCTAATAACAACAAATTTTTGGGTGACTGCTTCCACATAAATGACATACAAAGTATATAAAAATATAAAAAATAAGAGCAATAATTCACATTAGAGACAATTAAGATTGCATAGATTTCACATCACCTAAATAAATATTTTAACATTTTTAAACAAATGCACTCTAAAGTTAATAATTCATAACTTAAAAAAAAAAAAAAAGAAGAAGAAAAAAAAGATTTTCATACCTTGATAACCATAGCGACCAAAATATTTGTACATATATTCAAAGCTCATCTACCATATGAATCTTCCATTGAACATACGATCAACTATCAACTCCATGAGCGATCTAATCAATAGAACTAGATTGCTTAGCTAAAGCCAGATTGCTTAAAGTCACTTTTTTAAAAAAAAAAAAAAAAAGAAAGAAAGAAAAAGGAGAAGATTAAGAAATTGAATTAGATTTCAACTCTTAAGAAAGATCTCAATATTGATCATATGGTGATAAAACTCATCAGCTACCTACTTCAACATTAAAATGAAAAATAAAACTTTTCCAATCGTCACTTCCATTTTCTTTAATCCAAAAATTTTAAACACGTCAACAAGAAAAACAATAGGTAAAAGACTTAAAGAATGATAGCAACTTTAAGACAAATAAAATAAACAATAAAACTTTGACTCTGATTCTTGTGATGGCAACAAACATGAAACTGCCATGAGAATATGAGAAACTACAGCTGTTGTAAATGAATGAAATAACTTATTTACTTCTATTTTTCCATTTTTTTCATCTTACAAACACCTTATGGGGTGGAAAAAGATGATAAAATTATATGAAGGAAAAATGTAGAATCGTTATCCAATTTCTTTATAGCAACAAAAAAACAAAAGAGAATGCCGATGTAAATATGATTAGAAGAAAACTTAAAACCACCTAGTTTAAAATACGTTAACAAATGAAGCGAGAAAAAGATAGTGCCATGTGTGGTTAAGTCAAGTGATTTCAAAATAAAAAAACCTTTATGAATTAAGTGTGGTAGTACAGTATCAAGATACATAGCTTCACGGAGTAGTAGCCTCTTCGAAATAGATCCTTTGTTGCACCACATAGAAGAACACTAAACCTAAAGCTCCATCTAGTAACATAATCATGTACTCAGATCCAATGGAGATGCACCATCACAACTTCTGCTGTGTGTAAAACAACATATATATTCGTCATGGTTTCACACTAAACAGATGAATAGAAAATTTTGTCACACTCTGAGTCTCTGACATGAAGATATGTCGCTTGTCAGCATGCATGTTTAGGTATTATATAATCATTAAAACAACAAAGTGCCTGCAAACAGGAGAAACAAAAGCCTCATATGGATAAATGATCTCCCAAAAATAAAACAGAGAAAGAACAATCATCTACCTTCAGCCAATCCGCAGAAGTAATCAAAGACATGATCAATGCGAAAGATTATGCTAGCATTGATTTCATCACTGGCAATAAATTTACATTCACTCACAGAAAAATCCCCAAACAATGTACGCGAAACTTTATGTTTGGCCATAAACTGAAGTATAAGATATAGTTCTTGAATAAATAAAAAAATAAAAAAATAAAAAAAAGTACCTTGACCTTGATAACAGAAGTGATCATAATTTTTGTATATTGAGTGCTCATCTGCCTAAAAATCTTCCATGGAACCTTCAACCCAGTCCGTGAGCGAACAAGTCATTAATTGCTTAGCAATAGCTGAAACCTCAAAAAGATAAATAATGTATAGGAAGTTGAAGGACAAAACTGTGATAAACTTTTATAAAAGAGCTCAATACTGACTACACGGTGACCAAGCCCATTAGTTAAAATTAAAACTTATCCCAAGATTTAGCAATTGTCATTTCCATTTCCTTTATCCAATAAATTGAACTTGTCAACAAGAGCAAAAGAGATACTCCCTCCATCCCGTAATATAGTTCATGTTTGTGTTTTTTCTCGGTATTTAAGAAATAGGAGGAGAAACTGGATGAAGTACATTAATAAAAGTGAAGAGTACAATCATAGACAAAAGTTAGAGAGAAAAAGTGGGAAAAAGTACAAGGCATGTGCAAAATTCAAGGGTAAATTAGGAAGTACAATGAATAAAGTTAAAAAAAAAGTGAGGGTATAATGGTCTTTACGTAATATCCAAAAATAGAAACAAGAACAACATTTTGGAACTCCAAAATAGGAAAACATGAACTATATTATGGGACAAAGGGAGTAGGAGACACTTCAATAGAATATGAAAGCAACTTCCCGATAAAAAAATTAGATGATAAAATATTGACTCCTGTTCTTGCAATGACAGCCAACATGATACGAAAGCTGTGAATAAATGAAATATCTTATTACCTCATTTTTCATTCTCCCAGCTTCGTCTTTTATTCTTTTATTATACTACTTATGATTGAAAAGCAAGAATGAATAAAGATATGAGTAGAACTGTAGAAGATAGCTTAAGGAGTTAAGGTCATCTAGTTTGACATACATTAATAAGTGAAGTGAGGAAAAGATAGTGACAAAAGCGGTTATGGCTAAGCTAAGTGATTTCAATTCACTAACCCCTTTTAATAAACTGTAACATACAATGAGCAATTTTATGTCAAGATACTTACCATTTGTTGCACAAAATACATGAACTCCGACCCTGAAGTCCCATCAAGTAACATCATAATGTGCGCCGCCACAACTTATAGCTATGCAATGTTGAACAACAACTATAACCAAATATGATTTCATGTTAATAAGATTTACAGAGAATTTGGTCTCCTAGCTAGATAACCACTTAAACAACTAGATTGAGTGATTCCAATAATATGATAACATGCTAACATGCACAGCGAGGTGAAGATATGACACTTGTTAACATGCTTGTTTAAGTACAATACAATAGAAAAAAAAAAAAAAAAAAACCACAAAGTACATGCAAATAAGAGAGTTTATGTGGAAAAACTGACGTGGTCAACTATAGAGAGAGAGAGAGACGATCTACCTTCAGCCAATGAATCTAAGTGATAAATCATCCTACAATTGATTTCCTCATTGGCAACACTTATGACCAATTTAAACTGATCTGCCTCTGCATTAAGTTTCAACTTTCAAGTGCAGTAATTATTACATCAATTATATGAGAATTACCCAAATAATCTAAGCAGAAATTTTTTGTTTAGCAAGAATAATAAAACAGATTATTTTGTCAAAAGATATGTATTATTAACTGAAGTATACGCATCTGTAAGAACAGAACCCAATCAGCACAAATTTTAACTCTGAGTAAGGGTGTGTTGGATGTATAACAATTAACAAATATGGATGTTTGAATCACACTTGAACATTCAAGTCAAAATTGATTATTATGAACAACATTAGGGTCTTGAATTCCTAAAAGCACTTATTTTTAAATAAACTTAAACTGAAAATTGCATATCAAATTATGGTTGATATGATTCTCCAAGATTTGTAACTGCAGTTGGAAAAAATCCTTAACAAATTTATACTGAACCCTATACTACAAATCTGCTCTCTTCTAGGTTTTGATTTTCTTTAGTTACTAATGGAATCAGCATCACAACTACATACCAGCCACAACGGCACGGCCTTGACAGCTAATTTGATATAAACGAACAAAACACTTCTTTGCTCACTATTAGCAAATGTCATGTACTCATGAGTCATGTCCTTATACTCCGTATCAGAATATACGTATCAAACAAGTCTTCTATATTTCTCTCCTTGTCCCTTACCAACTACACACAGCAAGATAGATTAACCAAAAGATGTTTTAGTGCTCAAAGCACAATGAAGGGCACAATAATCCTATATGTCCTAAAGTAAGAAGCTTTATAAAAATATATGGCAACTTCAAATCACATATGCCATTTTCAATACAAAGCCATACTATCATTAATAATTCAAGATGTGAGGTTTGCTTAGCACCAAAGAAATCCAACGTGCAAGGCATTATAATCTAGAACATACACTTAACCCTTGTATTCTTGAACTTATATGGAAAGATCATTTTTTTTACACAATATTTTTGTATTCAATGTCAATCTTGAATAAACAAAGTCACTAATGATTTACATCGCAAGCATAGCAAACATACATTACTATAAATGTGTGCCATTAAACAAAATTTCTCCAAATGATAAAGGACGAACAAGCATAACCAACATATTTTCGCAAAATATCAAACCCCTTTTAAGATGCATTGAAATGAATAGGCTAAGGGCCTATTCACATTTAATGAACTAACCTGAACTGAACTAAATAGAGCTTAAATGAATATTTTATGAGAAAAGGAAATTAGAAGGTGAACTAAACTGAACTGATTGGAGCTGAACTGAACTGAAATTGAACAGACCATGAGAAAGGCAATAGCAATACTAAGCATACAACATACCTCATCTTGGCCAACCAAACTGAGTCATACTGACAGGCATCAACCGAGAAAACGAAAGCAATGTCGAAAACCCACAGCTCATATCAATTTCACATCAGTGGTCAACTTGAGACATATACCTAAAATAACAATTTTTTCATAAAATTGAATAAGCCATCAACTGAACATATGCAATAATCTAAGTATAATGCCAATCAATATTAATACTACGTAACTAACAAAAGTATTAATATCCTCATTACAATTTAACATTCTCTCCCCCAAATTAACAACAAATACTTCATATACAATTAAAACAACAATTAGTAAACTTTCTTTCAGTACTCAAATTCAAAAACGATCAGCCAGTGCAGCCAATACCCCAACCCATGCAAATCCAAGAATTCAAAGACCAACCCAATTAAGAATTCTTAAGAATTTCCCAACAATAAATTAATTCATAAATATGAATTCATCAGCTCAACAATACGACTAAAATCAAATTTGAAAAAATAAATAAATAAATAAAAATGGAACTTACCAGAGCTATAATGGTAATCTAGAAAGAAAGTTTTTTTCAAATTGGGATGCAGAAATTGAAATTAACACTCAATCAAGAACCGGGTTCCTGTTAATTTCTCAGTTTCATTAGACCCACGACCGCTAGAAATTACACTTGTTGGTAATAAATTAAAGGGGTAAATAAGTCGAATTGAAAAACACAAGTGATTAGAGGTGTCTTTGATAGGCTGTTTGGGGACTCGATAACCAAAATTCTTAAAAGTGATTTCCATAACTCGAATCGATAAGTTTGGGTACCCAGACTTCGGCTACCTTGATTTTCGGATCGGTTATCGAGTATCCAATAAGATATCCAATAATAATAATTAAACTTAGGGCCTGTTCATATTTACTGAACTGAGCTGAACTGAACTGATTGGAGCTGAACTGAACTGAACTGATTGGAATTGAACTGAACTAAACTAAAATGAATATTTTATGAGAGAGGGAAATTAAGAGCTGAACTGAACTGAACTGAACAGAACTAAACTGATTGGAGCTGAACTGAACTGAACTGATTGGAGCTGAAATGAACTGAACTGAACTGAAAATAAGTAAATATTAACATGCCCTTAATTATGTAGTTATTATGATATAATTTACCACTAATTTACAACAATATCATATGATTTTGACCAAATTATTAATAATATTACTAATTATTGATATTATAAGGTAATTATAAAGTAAAAGTAAGAGTTTAGATTTTAAACAATGAATTTAAGAAGGGAAAAAAAGCAAAAAATTATTGATATTATAAGGTAATTATAAAGTAAAAGTAAGAGTTTAGATTTCAAACAATGAATTTAAGAAGGGAAAAAAAGCAAAAAAAAATGCTTATCGAAACGAATCGGTAACCGTTAATTTTAAAATGATACCTAATAACCATACTCGATAACAAATTATCGGAACGGGTACCCAAACCATTATGGTTATCGAATCGGGTACCCTAATTTTCGGAACGGTTACAGATCGATTTTACGGGTTTTCGGTTTTTCGGGTAGTTTTGCTCCGCCCTAGACTTTGAGGAAGATAAGCTAATAAAGTGTTTATGAATGAAATGAGTTAGGTATTTGTGAATTGTAACATGACTTAAAATGATATATGGAGGAATGTCACCCTCATGAATCCATTGTAACTATTACCTATTTAAGCTCAAGAATATAAGGGTTAAGTCCAGGCTGACGAAATGTTTAATCGGTTTGTACTGATGAAATGCGGATTTTTTATATCCTTTATTGGTTGGACAATATACTCTACTGTCTATATGATATCCTTTATTGGTTACGGAGTATGTGATATCCTTTATTGGTTTGATGATATTTCTACTGGCTGGATGATACTCTCTATTGGCTGGATGATATTCTCTATTGGCCATAAGATATCCTTTATTGGCTATGTGATATCCTTTATTGGTTGGATGATATTCTTTATTGACTGGATGATATCCACTATTGGATATATGATATCATGGCTGGATAATAAATGATATCATATAGTCAATAGAGGATATCATAGACACAGTCATAAATGATATCATACCGCCAATAGAGGATATCATCCAACCATAATATCATATAACCAATCGAGGATTTCATCCAGTCAATAGAGGATATCATACTAGAATATGTATAATTTGTTTGATGGTATGTATAACAATGGCGGAACCTCCATTGAAGAGCTCATATTAAAGGTAATAGGTATAACATAACTTGTTCATTTCTCAACCAAAATACATGCATTTGTCATCAAAATGCTCACAATTCAACATACAATCATATGGGACAAACAATTTTAATAATTATACATCACTTAAGAAAGCCCCAATTCGATTTTTTGGGCATTTTTCGAAAAATCCGAGAATTAAACTTTCTCTCTCTTTCGCCATGAATAACCTCGCTTTTTCTCCTTCGCCTTTGATGACGTCATCGTCCCCGTCGCCTACAGGGAGAGAAGGAGATCCACCATTGTTGTCATCATCGTCATCGTTCTCTTTATTGTCATAGTCATCTCCTCCACCGCACTAACTATTTGGTCAAGCTTGACAGACCCAATAGTTTGTGAATCACACCATCAGTATCACCACCAAAATTACATAAACTTCCTTATAATCACACCATCAGTATCTCTTCCTTTTTATCTTTACTTATACATTATTCTCATTTTTAGTTTGACTTTTACTAGGCTTGTAATACATTATTCTCATTTTTAAATTTGACTTTAACCAGCATTGTAATACATTACTCTCAATCCAAACATATCAAATGGCAACTTTGTATTCACATTATCACATAATACTATTGGGAGTTGTTTGTATTGTTAATGACTTGAGACGACTTGTTTGTCTTTTTTTTTTTTTTTTTTTTTTAATACAAGTATATATATGGTTGATGAGACTTTGACATAATTGACACACTATTTTATTAATTTCAACTAAAAAGGTTAAGCTTATTAAGGTGAAATTTATGATAGTATTATAATTAAAAAAAAAGTTAAAAAGTAAACATGACGATTAATTAGAAATTGTGATACTACAAATCTTCAAACTTTATTCATAAGGAGGCTCGACCATGATGACGAATTGACTAGAGGTGTTATTCAAAACTTGAGATCAAATCTCATCTAAATCATTGTCTATGTTGCTCTCTCTACATTAAAAATAACAGTATACAAGTTACAACTTTAAATTTCCATTCAGTCAACTTTTGAATGGAACATTGTTACACCACTGCTCTTTGAGATACTCCATCAAAAGAGAATACAGATTTAACCTCACAAACTTTCATAGATAACTTAAATTGACAATATTTGATACAAATTTCATTTGCAATCCATTTAAGAGTGATATTAAACCAACACATCCTCGACTACTTGAGATACAAGGTAAAATTGTAGGGCATTCAAGACGATGATTTCTTCAACAAATGCCTGACATGGCCAAGTTAAAAAGATCAGGCCTGTTACCAAGAATTGTATAGATAGCGAAGGGAGCCCGATGCCACCCAAAACATGAGGACAGATCCCCCAAGCCTTCCGAATTGGTCAGTCCAAAGCCCAGCCATATCATCCCACCGCCAATGACCTGAGCCTGCACCAACTGCATCCCAAAATTTCAAACACTCAAGTTGAAATCTTCATGCAGTGTAAAATCAATGAGAATAAGAAAACAAGCCTAGACATCATATTCCAGTTTGTGTTGTTATAACGATTACAACATCTGGTACTAATGGCATGAGTCTGATGGCATCAACAAATCCAATCCTTCTCTTCAACATAGGCCGCTTTGGTGAATTGCAGATGCAATATGATATATGATAAGAGCATAAAACTCCTCCTTTTCTTCTTCCTTGGACATTTCATGGCAGGCAGCATAAAAGCTATCTGATCCTTGTGGATCTCCATGAAAACCTACTACTCTGTAGATTAATTACCAAGAAAAATAAAGAGAGAGGAGGGTAACAAATAGAATTTGAGAAAGAGTTGTGAGATAAAAAATGAGAGCAAGTAAACCATTTATATAGAAAACTTTGACTAGGTTGATGGACTAGGGTTTAGAATACAAGGATAGGATCACCCCATCTTTTGAGATGGATTTTTTATTACAAGGATAGAATCACCAGCTCATTTTGAGATGGATGTTTTTTTAACAAGCATAGAATAACCCACGTCACTTTGAGATGGATTTATTAAAAAAAAATAAAAAAAAAAATCAAGATGGAGAAAAACAATATATTTTACCCTTGATAATACAGTAATAAAAATGTACTAATAAAGTAACAAGTGTAAATGAGAGAATTGATTTGTTACCATTTATTACATATTTGCTTTAAAACTTTGAGCTGTGAACAATGATATTACCTACCTTAAAAGTATGATTCAATGAATTTGAAACTTTATTCACACTAAGAAAACTGAGAGCAACTCGTCTTCAGAAAGTAATTACGCAAAAAGCATCCTTAAGCTTAAGTATGCTACCCTAAAAAGGCCTTATTACTTGATTGTGATTTTGATGGGCACATGTATTTTGATTAACAGAAGAAACTAAGTAGTGTTTGGTCAGCAATTTATAGGTCTCAGAAAGAAAATTAGGAATTTCAGTATTCGATGACATGAGTTCACTATGTGCGTGCTGGTGCTACGACATCCAGACGTCTAAGGAAGACTCGAAGAATAAGGAATTAAGAACTCAACACAAAACACACTCTCAACCTGAAGCTTCATGATGGGAAACTTTGTAATGTTCTTATTAAAGGCATACACACGTACACGTGTAATTATTCCAAACATTATCCTAGATCATGAAATTAGAGATTTCCGTATTTGAAGACATGAGTTAACTATGTGCCGGTGCTATGACATCAAAATGGATAAGGAAGACTTAAAACACTCTAAAGTCTAAACTGGAACCTCCGCTTCATCAGGCGAAGCTATGTCATGATTTTATCATAACTCATAAGGCATACACGAGTAATTAATTCTAGATGGTGACCCTAGATAGTGAGACCTCAATCCTAGTAAGCATATCAGGCTCAAGCTATAACCAATACCCATCAGTAAGCTACTTCCACATTAAGGCAACAAGCTAAACCTAATCAAGCCAACGTTTGAGCTCACAATTGTCATTTCCTTTCCTTAAAAAAAAATTGATATATTGAAAATGCAATTCCAAGACTTTAATTGACAAATATGTCAAACAAGAAAATTTAGGCTTCTCGTTTTTTACAACGATGGACACAAAACTACTAAACTAGAATTGGACACAGTAGCTAAAAATAAATGAGATCGGGAGATAAGATACCTTATTATCCTCTCTTAAAAATAAATTTTAAAAAGGATACCCTACTATCCTCTATCTTCCTTTCTCACACTTTCATCATAGGTGTTCACAAGATGGAGAACAATAAAATAAAATAACAAAACATAAAAAGTACGGCTGTTATCTAAGCAAGAATAAATAAAAGAAAAGTGCAGGAAACAATTTAAGATCACTTGCTTTCAAGATATGTTCACAGTGAGGAAGAGATAGTACCAAATGTATCTGTACCAAGTAAAGATGAACACTGAACCTTAAGCGCCATGCAGAGACATAATGATGTACTCAGATTGAAGAGCTTGGACTACATGGCATGATGTTGAATGGTTGAAGTACAAATGAACATCAGCTTGCCCCCACATTTTTTACTGAAAACATAGCAAAACATCTCAACTCTTCCTATGCATGATAAACAGCATCAGCAGACAAAAGACAAAACTGTAAATTCAACTCTAAAGAAAGATCTCAATACTGATCATATGGTGACGTAACTGCCGAACCCATCAGTTAGCAACTCAACACTATGGCAGGATTAAACTTATCACAAGCAACATTTAGCAATTGCCATTACCACTTTCTTTTATCCAAATAATTGAACTTATAAACAAGAACAAAAGGTAAAAGACTTCAAAAGGATGGGTATAAGACTTCTACAGAATATGATAGTAACTTTATGACAAATAATATAGATGATAATACTTTGACTTCTGGTCTAGTGATATGACAACAAACATGAAACTGCCATCAGATAACAGCAGCTGTAACCTATAAGTAAATGAGATATCTTAATTCCCTTTTTTCCTTCCATTTTTTCTATTCATTCTTCTCTATAGGGTCATAATGAAGGTAGATTTGTTATCAAAATATCTTCTTAAAAAAAATAAACAAGAGAAATTAAATGTAAGATAGCCTAGTGTTGTTATACAGGGCAACACGTGGTTGAGTCCAGCGATTTCAATTCACAAACTCCTTTCTGAATCAAGTGTAGCAGTAGTACCATGCCAAATAGTAGACTCTTCGAAAGATATCCTTTCTCACCTTAAGGTGGCCAAATTATAAAAGATATCTGAGCAATACTGTAGTACTGTACTCCCCATTTGTTGCACCAAATAGATGAACACTGAACCTAAACTCCATCTAGTAACATAATCATGTGCTCAATTTAACAGAGATCCACCCCATCACCACTTCTGCAATGATAAAGAGCTTCTACAACAGTCATGGTTTCATGCTAAACAAGTATAAAGAAAATTTTGTCATCGAGCTAGATAACTGATAGCCACTTATACTACTAGATTAAGTAATAAATAATGTAATTATAAATAAATAAATAAATTAATTAATTAAAAAAAATCCTGCACAGTGAGGTGAAGATATGGGGATAATAACTTGAACGCTATGCCTTCAATATATTTCTTCCATGGGCACTGTTACACCATCAAGTCCATAAGCAACCAGAAGATTATATTGCCTAGTTAAAGCTGAAACCCTCATTTAACAAGAGGATGTAAAGAAACGAACAAGAAAGTAGAATAAGGACAGAACTATAATTTTCAACTCTCAAAGCATTCAAAACTGGTACTGGTAGCAACTGGGCTCAAACTATTCCAAATTTCCATCAGTAAGCTATTTCCGCATTAAGGTAAAAAAATTATAGAACCTAATCCAAGCAACATTACTACTTTAGAACTAACCAATGTCATTACCTTTTCTTCATCAAATTGATATTTGAACAAGCAATAGTGAATATCAAAGACTTCAATACTTGATATCAAGATTTGTAGACAAGAAAATTTATTTCCTTCTTTTTTTACGACAACGAACATGAAATAAACAAGTTCTAGAATTGTTTTCGGTAGCCAAAAATAAATGAGATCAGGAAGTAATAACATCAATTAGATACCATATCTCCCTCTATCTTCACTTCTCAGTCTATTCATAGATTTTTTTTTCATGTATTTGCGAGATAGGAAAAAAACAGAGAGAGAAAAGGTATAAATATTACCTGGACATTTGAGGAAACGTTCATATGTGAAGTGAGGAAGAGACAGTGTTAATTGAATTAAACTTTGCAAGATCATTTCTCATCCAAGTGTATTTGTACCATGTCAAGATGAGCATTGAACCTAAATCCCATTCCATGACATAATAATGTGCTCAGAATTGAATAGCTTGGACATGCCATGACGTTGAAATGCACTTGAACATCTGCTTTCCCCCACGCATTAAAATGAAAGAATAGAAAACATATCAACTCCTACACATGATAAACAGCATCTGCAGGCAGTCATGATAAATAGAATTGCATAAAATTAGTCGCCCAAATAGGCAATTCAAACTATCTTATTATTGAGTGATTAATTGAGTAAGTTAAAACATACTAGCATGCACTTTGAGTGAAGATATCACTTGTCAGCATGTACATTTAGATAAATCATAATCATGAAAACAAAGAAGTGAATGCAAATAGGAGAATCACCTAAAAGATAACCTCTTCCTTGGATAGAAAGCTAACAAATTTTGTAGTAGGCTACTCTAAAGTAGTAACTATGAAGTAGAGACACTCTAAACTACTTTAAACAGATTCAAGGATGACTTCTTCCACATAGACAATAAAATAAAGTATAATAATGATCATGATACACATTAGAAACCACTAGAGTTGCAGGGAAACATTTAAATGAGATGGAATGTAACCTATGCAACAATGAACAAATTTATACAAAAGTTAATAATTTGAAACTTTATGGCAGCTATACTTATACCCTATGTTACTTGGACTCTACCAACAAAGTGTTGGCTCACTAACTCAAATTCTGCTGTTCAAATCCTACTAAGGAGGGTACTTGGGGTAGGGATTCCCTTACCCTCCCCTCTACTCCCAAGCCTGCAAATACTAGACCAAAAAAATTGTGAGGGTTGGACAGGGTCCTCCTTACCATTTAAAAAAGAAATGTTACTTGGACTCTTCATTTCAACTCAAGTATCTTTGTTAGATTTTCAACACTCCGGCAAGGGTATGGACATTTGAACACTTTATTTTGTGACTCCGGCAAGGGTATGGACATTTGAACACTTTAGTTTGGGCTAAAATCATATATAGACACTTGTCATACCCTAGTTAAGGACTTGGGGTAACATAAGCTATACCTTCATAACCAAGGTGCTCATAATTTAGAATGTTACCAGAAAAATACAGGACTTACCATCAAGTCATGGAGCCAGAGTACACCAAATCAATTGTCTTGCTATGCTCTGAGAATGCATGTTAGCCAACCCAAAATCATTTGGGACTAAGGCTTCCTTATTGTAGTTGTGGTGGTTGTTGTTGTTGTGGTTGTTGTTGTTGTTGTTGTTGTTGGAGGTAGGGTACGCCATCAAGTCCACAAATGATAGTCATTAAATATCCTAGGTAAGCTGAAACCTCTAAAAGTCAAATGTGTATAGGTTTGAATAAACATAAAATCGGACAAAAGAAGGCAGAACTTTTAACCCTCAAGCCATCATGAGAGACCTCAATATTAATAATTCAGTGACATTGTGGGTTGAATGTGTTTTAAATTTCCATCATTTAGCTACTCTGTCAGCATAGCAAGAAATAAAACCTTAACCGAGAAACATTACGATTGAAGAATAGGCCCTCATTGAAGCTAGCAGCTAGGTATATTCCTCACTTTAAGCTGTTCAATAAGGATGGCCACATAATTCAGAACATATCTAAGAAGAATTTACCATCTGTTGCTCCAAAAAGATGAACTCTGAGCCTATACCCATCCATTAACATAATAATGTGCTCAAATTAAAGGGAGACCGCCTATCAGGCCTAGAACTCATTACCAATAAAATAAATCTCCTTAATGCCACTAAACTTTAAGCTAGAGTGACTAACCTGGGCTACAAATTGACAATGAACATGTACAACAAACAAATAGCCCCCACATTTCTGATTGAAAATATATCAAGCACCAGCACAACTTCAGCTATGCATGATGCCAATAAATTAATACTCCTCGGAAAATTTAGTCACCTGAATAGCCACATTATCCTTCTAGATTTAATATTTAATAACATGCACTTTTCGATGAAACATTATTATCAACATACTGTAATGCAAGAAAATAGGAGAATCGTATACACTCTAATATGGAACAAAATGACATAAATGAACTTAATAATAAAAAAGATACATCCACGGACTAATATAACATTTTTAAATATAAATGCAGCCATACCAGACTACCAGAGGATAAATCAATGCCACAGAATACAAAGCTCTGATTTCTTTACGTCTAACATCCACTCAAACAAGTCTGACATCATGTAGAGACTTTAGTACAGTTGTTTTTAACTCCAGAATCCTCCATACAATCTAAACAGAACATTTATGTTAAGCAAAAATAGTATTCCGTAAATTATACAATCAATTGTTAGAACAAAACCAATTGTCCAAATCAATGCAAAATTTAACTCACAAGATAGTTAATACATCATTTTTAAAATAGGAAGAGTATACACACACCGGTAATAACGAACAAAATCAACAGTAAGAAGAATGATGTCAACACAAAATTTATTTCATTGCCCTCAAAATGTAGCAATACTAAGCTATACTAAGCAATCAAGTTTTGACCGAACCCACTTGACAATGATACAGAGAAGATGATCCAACATAACATTCAAATTATAGCCCATCAGACAACCATAAACAACTTAGAACACAAAACAACATTCATAGCTCCCCAGCTACTCCACATAACAGTTGAAGTTGTAAACAAATAGTCAGATAGAAGGTGACTTTGCTCAAATTCTTTCACCGAGATCTCTACAAAAAGGCAAATATACAGTCAAGAGCCCAGGCGCCCAGCCCTTATTTGGGGGGTGTCTCTCTTTGTTTGCCATCAATTGTCAGCAAGCCTTTTACACTATTATTTAACATTAAGTACAGACTATACAGTAGATTAACAAGCTGCACAAAGTAAAAATAATAATTTCAGCATAATACTTAGATTTACTACACAAGGAAATCATCAAACAAGCTACACAGTGCTGTAAATCTTATGCTGTTCGTATGTTGAAAGCCGCCACTAAGTAAGGCTTTCCCTTGCCGATATATAGATATTCTAAAAAATCCATAGCAGATATGAGCAGGATGAACAACAAGATTGTGTATAGAATTGTTTAGTAAGAATGTAATGGAACCATGATATATTAGCAACAAGTCCATGATTTATCAGGAACTCAATTGAAGAATTGTTACAATTTATCATTTTCCTAGTATCTTAGCTATGAAAATGGCTAATTTAAAAACCAAATATAAAAAAAAAGGAAAAAAATTTACAATGGCATACAATAATGAAAATAATTGCATTTAATGCAAGTAAATAAACCAGAGCCAGAATATAAAATTCATAATCATTCATAGACATCGGATCTTATACAGTATCTTGCCCTCCTTCAGTGACGATTTTTCTTCATAGGGATTTCTGCAGCTCAAAAATGCTTTAGTTGCTGAAGGATTTAAGCCTAATTTAAAAAAGGAGCCGCACTTTCCACAAGTCCACTTTCACTTGAAAATCTAGCAATCAGTCTAAGCGACAAATAAAAAACTAAGTGTGCACATGAATTAAGCAAACATGCATAATGTAACTTTAATACCTTATTCAGTACAAGGAAAGCTATGATGGGGTGAAAGGCACATGTCAGCACATTATTATATTAAATGGATTATTAAATCTTTCCAGAACTGATAGATCGAACCAAAATTACAATTACCATAAAAGATGCACCGTGCCTATTCATTTAATGAATGATGCAAAGGAAGACCTTCATTATAAAAGCTGGAAAGCTATGTACCTTGTATTGGCCAACCAAGTTATACTAACATGTAACATGGAAGGGCTTTTCTCACAATTCCTTAGAGCTTAGTGCTGAATATACATGGCTCACAACACTTACCCACGACTCACATCATCTTTGCGTCAGTGATCAATTCACTCTCTTTGTCTCCTTGAAACAAAAACCTAACAATCTAACAGATGTACGCGTAATTGAATGCAATGGTTTAAAATCCTTATGTATTAAATCTTATAATTCTTTATAATGACAGGATATAACAAATCTCAACTAATTTCATTCAGGTCTACTTAAACCCCAACCTAAAAATAACACCTTTTTATAACAAATTTCAATCCATTGCATTTCCTTACTCGATTTTCATTTCTTATCAGATTCTTATTCACAAAAGGCTATAATTAATTGCTACCCATTAACACATTCGAGACACTTAAACCCAAAAAATTCCACAATTTCTATTATACAAACGCGTGTACGTAGCTCACACCCAATACTTTTTTTTTTCTCATTTAGATAGCTCCAATCAAGCAAATCAGACAAATGGGTAGCTACAATTCTACAAATAAGCCAGAAAAAACCGCCTCAAGTGTACCATCTACATTAAACGATAAACCCACCAACAAAAACCCAATTAATACTACCATAAAACCCGATTAAAACCCAATTTTCAAAAAATAGTCATTCCTTAAAATTTGATAAAAATTAATCATCAAACTTTGAAGAAAAAAAAAAAATTGAAGGAATTCCAAAAAAAATTAAAGACAAAGAGAGAATTATTGGGATCACTGCACGCAAAAATGATATTAGTCAACTGGGTAAGACTTTGTGAAGCCACCAACACCTAATTTCATCTCTCTCTCATGAATTTCTTGCATTTGAGTGATTTTGAGTGTCCCAAACAACAAGAAGAGATTCATATAAATAGCCCTTGAAATTAAACTACAAAATCAGAACTGATATCAAATCAATTGAATCTTGAATGATATCAAATCAAAACATACCTAAGAAGTTTGATTTGCAGAATACTAAAGATTGTTGACCTTGAACTTTGCTGGAAAAATCAGAGGGGATTTGATTGGCTTTGATTTGTGCTTGATTTTTATTGAGTAGTGGATTTCTTAGTTGGGATGGTTGTTGGGCTAGTAGATTAGAATCACAATGCCGAATATTAAATGTGAACAACCGCTATTGGGATGACATCAGATCTATTATAATTTTACTTATTTTTTTTTTTTTACATAATGGAAATTATGGTTTATGAAGTAAGGGTGTGTTCTTTTAAGATTATTTTCACTTGAGTTCAGCTCAATTCAATCAATCAGAATAGACCCTAATGATTTAATACGGAACACATTTTCAAATCTTAGTGACCACACGATGTCGCCTGTGTAACTTAGTTATGGTTGTGTGGTCAGAGCTATTTGTTCGGTCAAGGATACTCGGTCGGTACTTTGGTGTGTGTCAACTTACCGTATAATGTGGCTAGCCACACCAAAAAAAGAAAAATGTTACCGCTTTTAATTTTATTAGGGCAGCCAACGCGGAATGGCTAGCCTTTGCAACTTAATTTTACTTGTCTTGTGTTTGCACTTCACATGGAGGAATAAAAGACCGGCAAAGGAATATACTACCTTTGGTTCAATTTACTCGCAACAAAATAATATTTTATGTCTCACAAATAATACCCCTTTGTTGCGAGTACATTGAACCGGAGGTAGTATTTCTATTGCTCAGGCATTGTTTGTTTGTAATCGTGTTGAGTTGAATGTTATGTGTGAAATATCTCGTATATTGAAAAAAATCTTTATTTTACTATTTGTATATGGTGATTCTGTTAATTGAAATACTATGTAGAGTCACTGTAGAATATAATTCTTAGGTTTTTCAATGATAATGCAGAAAAGGAACAAATGTTAGAATTGTTGTTTGTTTATTTTCGCAGTGTTGATATTAGTATTACTTAATTGTGGTGGTACAATACGAAATAGAGAAAGAATCATCAATGATGAAACCGAAACGACCAATTCCTAATCCACCACAGAGGCTAACAATATTAAACAACTGCTATATATTGGTATTGCCATTTATTTTATTTTTTTGCCATAATTTGATTTGGGAATTTTGGGAAGGTGGTGAACAAAGATGTGGAATTTAGTACTTGGAAATGGCAATGATAGTGTGGAGAGAAGAAGTTAAAAGCTTTAAAGAGATGGAGCCATGGAGAGGAGGAGAGAAAGCTCAAATGTGTAAGGAAATATAGACGGGTAAGAACAATTTGAAATTGGACTGTTGGAGTACAAAATTACAAATAAGGGTACAGAGGTAAAATACATTTTGAAGGGTAAATAGGGGTACAAAGGTAAAATAACATTTTGAAGGGTATAAAAGTCCGTGCACTATTTATAAGAACAACTTTCTACTTTTTATAAGGTAGGGATAGATTATAATTTTATGTTGTAGTTAAGACTTATCTTTTTTGTTATCAATATCTTTAATCTTAATCTATCTATCTATAGTATATATTAAAAGGTGTTCCTAAATAAGCATAAGACACGTGGGACTCTCCTCAATTAATCGAGTCTTTTCATTCACGTGATTAAAAATATGGATTGTACAAGGTATGAATCACCCACAACCTTATGTTTAAAAATTAAAGTGTTAGCAACTAAGCTATGATCATATTGCATGTCATAATAAGGATTTCAAACATGGAATTATACGATAACTCGGGGTATCATCCAAGTTTAAAAACTAGATTTATTTATTTATTATTATTATTTTTAACATTGTAAGGTCAACCAGGCCCAGGCCCCGATCAAAGGCTCGAGTCACAAGATTGAAACCTAGTTGGCAATGCCATAGAGGGGGTATGGGTGAGATTTGTTGCTGATGAGGATCGAACCTCGTATCTTGAGGGATGTGAGACGACCTCCCCTAGGTCATTACACCAAGAGGTCTCCCTCCCTCATTAAAAATTTATAATTGAAAGTAATCTTACGATTTATATATGATATTATAAAACTACACATTTATATTAATATTATTAAAACTCAAAGGGACAACATACTGTTGGAAAAATGATGTTGTAACCATGAAAATAATTAAGGAATTAGGGCAAAAATAGAATACTCAATTATAGATCTCATATAAAAATAGATGTGATGTGTTTTATTGCTGCCCTAGAAGCGTATTTCACCGCCACTGGTATGAGGCTCTGAGTGACGATTGCTTCCCAAGGGTAACACATCTACCTTCCAATTCCATACCCCGATTGGAAGGTTGGAATTACTTCAAGAACTCTTTAGATCTCTTTGGAAATGACTTTGTGTTTAGGGTTTCACAATACTCTGTGTATTTTTTGTCTCCCATGTATAAATTATAGCTTAAGGGTATTTAGAATTTATGAAAAAAAAATCAAAAATACGGACGTGCACTTATACAATGTAATTTTATGTTGTAGTTAAAACTTATTTATTATTAGTTCAAAAATCAGAGGTGTTACACTAGTTTTCACCGACAAATTTTTACACCACAAATATCAAGCCTATAGTTGGACGGATGAGCACTTTAAAACTCAACTAGGCTTTGGAATTTCTAGTTTTGTATTATCTTCGCTCTTTTATATTCTATTCATTTCATTTATTTAATTATTTCATATATTTTATAAGTATTGATATGTCCATTTTATATACTATATTACCCCTGTCCCTTGGTCATATTTGGTAGTGTTTTTGGCTCTTTAGAGCTACTTTTATTACTAATTTGTGTTTTCTAGAATTTTCGTAGTTTTGGTTGAGTTTTATAGGGAATTGTACTTTTGGAGCATTTTTCCGGAATTTATTAGAGCAACTATGATCATTGGAGGGGCACGACCATCTTTCAGAGGCCAAGGCCGGTTAGAGTCATCAAACCGGTGATCAAAGGCTCGACATATGTGATACCGGGGCATTTGGATCAAGTGTTCAAGACCCGAAGAGGAAATCCGGATTGGGCCGAAGAATCGGAGACCGATCGAGAAGTCCAAGATAGCCCAAGGTCATCGCCCGGTGCAAAGGGACTCCGCCCGAAGGCGCGCCCGGCCGAGCGGGGTGGAATATATTGCAGAAATCTTCGCCCGATCTCGTGCCCGACCGGGCGCGAGTGATGCACTTGATGGAAAAAAGGCGGGCCGATCGGGCGCGTGTTTTGGAGAGCTTGTTTACAGCAATTTTTACTTAGTATCTAATTAGGATTTTATGAGCTTAGTATAAATACATTTTAAGTCGTTTTGATACGACTATTCTTTTCTCTTAGACTTTCTCTCTCCACTTAGTTTTATTTTCTCTCTCTATAACTCTATACTTTGTTCTTGATTCAACTCATTATTTACGTTAATTTTGGTAACGATTTCTTCTTTATTAATTTCAACAATTGTGTTTCTTTTATTCATCATGTTTTCTTTAATTGCTATGTTTAGTTTAGATTTAATTATGTGTGAGTAGTTCTCTTTCTAGGGTTTGTGGGGATCCATAAATAATATGAAGGGGTATTTTATTGTTGTTGATTATCAATGCTTGATTAATTTCCTATTGATTGATTTAATGCTATGCAACTAGATTTGTGCAGATTTTTTATGTATGAGTTTAGCAATATTAATTCGAGATTCGAGAGATGAGAGAATTGATGTTTAGGCTTAGTTTCAATAGGCGTGTTAATTTATAAATGATTAAGTCGAGATTCGAGAGATGATATTTAATATCGGTAGATTAATTATGTGATTGTAATACGTAGAGAAAGCCCTTTATGATCTGGTTTATTGATGCATTGATGATCGATTTTCATGTTTTACCCTAGAATATTATTTATTGGTGAACCTATGCCCTAAGTCCTTTATTCATTGATTTTTCTTTACCCTTAATCTTCATAGTTTAGTTTCCCTTCGATAATAATAATTTGTTACTTAATAATTTAGATTGCTTTAATTAATCAGGAATAGAAAGAACAATTTTCCTGTGGATTCGACCCTACTTCCCTATCTGCATTAGTTAGAGGATTTAGGAATTACTTTTGATTAGGTTATACGACTTAAGCCAGTCAAGTATTCATAAAATTAATCGCCAAAGTCAGTTGGTATTACAAAAATTAAGGCCTAAAACTCTAAAATGACCAAAGCTTTCGCGAACTTGTGAGCTATTCTACTTGACTTGAAACTTTTACAAGAATGAGTCAAGACATAATCAAGCACGATTTTAAAGTTTATGAGTCGAGCACTTTTGACCCTCGATCAACTCACTCAATTAGTACCCATGTTAAATATCAAATATGAATCACGTTAACATTAAACAACAATTTCAAAAGAAAAATAATGTTATCATATATGCTATATTTTTTTTGAAGACATCATATACACTATATAGTCCTAACATGCATAACCAAATACCAAGCTAACCTTGGTCTAGTGATAAGATTGTCACCTTCTAATCTTGAGGTTGAGGACTAGTGACACTTTGAGAGTGAGAATCCTTTACCCTTCCCCCTCACTCTCACCCCGCAAATATTGGAGAAAAAAAACCGTAAGAATTGAGGTCAATTAATATGAACATACTTGATGTAGTAATCGATAAACCCGCTCCCAACTCAACATGACCAAATGACCATTAGCAAGTGTAGCAAACTAGCAACGCCTAAATCAAAGAACTTGATATTCCAATACAAAATTCATCTTTCAAAAATCTCTTCTTCGCAAAACCCTTACACTTCTTCTCCCGCTCTCTCTCTCTCCTCCATTCTTTCCTCCTCCCAAATGTTCGATCCCAGAAAACTCTCAACCAAATCTCACCCCCAAATTCCATCATTCTAAAACCCTAATTTCCAATAATTTCCGATTTTGCAAGCATCAATCATGCCGTCATTCCTCTCCGACGACGAATTCGAGCGATTCAAAGCCTCCGGCGACGCTTCTGCGGTGGCGGAGAAGGCGGATTCCTACATTCGCGACCTCTACGCCAACCTCGAGACCGTCAAAGCCGAAGCCGATGCCGCCTCCATTACTGCCGAGCAGACTTGCTCGCTCCTTGAGCACAAATACCTTTCACTGTCGTCCGAGTTCTCTGCACTCGAAACTCGCTATTCGGAGCTTGATTCTAATTTGCTGCAACGAGTTTCGGAGCTTGCTCAAGTTCAGTCTAATAAACATCAGCTTCATCTTAAATTCGTAAGTTAAACACACCTTTTTTTTTGTTCTTGTTGTTGTAATTAGTTGTAATTTATGTTGTGATATTTGGATTTAATGTTGTTTCTGAATTTATTGCTATTATTATGCGATTTTGTGTTGATTTTTTCGCTAATTAGGGTTTGGATTATGGTTACAGCTGAGAGAAATTGAAGTTGGATTTCTTTTTAGTAATTTTAGTATTGATAATCGTGGAAAATAGCAAGCATGTTTAGTAAAAATGTAGACATAAATAAGGGTTAGTTAGTAGAGGCAGCTGAAATTCGAAGGCGATTCATTTTGATTCGATAGCATACTAGATAACTCGGTATATCGATGATGTAGGAAGTGAGTCGATTTTCTTAAATTTTGCAAGTACTTCGTATGGTTTATACTTGTTCTACTATGTATATTGTTTA